GAAACTCATCCAGCCGTCAGTCTCCCGGGGCCCAGAGGGCAGAGAAGAACTATCTAAGTGGGTGCCTGAGACGAAACTGTTACAAGAGTCGAAAGCCCCATCTTTCTCTCAAGTGAGAACGAAAAGGGGAAGGGTAAAGAGAAATAAGCAGGGCGACAACAAAAAGCAAGGGAAAGAAAACAAACCAACAACAGAAAAGGAGAACCCAGGGGCAGGGGCAAGATGCGGAGGGGAAAACTGCGGAGGGGAGGGTGCCCGCACAGGTCAGCACCTGTGTCAGGCACAGGGCTGAGGGTGCGGGGTGAGAGGGCAGGATGCTATCAGAGTTCTACTGGCTTAGTTGCTGTCTGGGCTCAGGGTCTTTTGTGCAGTTCATGGCTGAGGTTAGTGTTTCAGGAAGGATCTCTTTTGAACCCAGAGTAGCTGGTGGCAGTGTGGGTGTTGTGGATGTTCTTGCCCACCCAGGGTGGCCAGCAGAGGCCACTTGTCCAGCCCTGTGCTTTCTGCTGCGAGGATGAGATAGCGCTTAGGTCCCTCCAGACCCGGGGGTGAGGGTGGGGGTGGGTGCCATACCAGGAGCCTGATCCATGAGGGTGCCTCCAACTTCAGGCAGACCATGGGCTGGGAGTCGATGGGGGTGGCCACCCACAGGTGGGTGGGTGAGGGTAAGGGGCTGGCCATTCTTTTGGTCATCAGGATGATGTAAGGGTCCCGCCTTTCTTGTCACCAGCCACCAGGGTATTCTTGGGTTAAGAACACCATCTCAAATGAGTGCTGCTAACAAAGGTTCCAGATGGCACACCTGTCTCCTCTCTGGCTTGCCTTTGTTCCTTGTTTCCCGCCCAGGTATTCTTCAATGCACTGCTCTGTGCTTGCCTCTGAAGCCTAAGGTTGCAGGCCGGTCATCGGTATCCGTTTGACTCAGTCACATGTCTTTGCTCTAGAACAGCGGTTCTCAACCTGTGGGTTGAGACCCTTTGGGGGGCAAACAACCCTTTCACAGGGGTCGCCTAAGACCATCAGAAAACACCTCTTTC